GGACATCACACAAGCGATAAACACCCGATGACACAAAGTACCACCATGCGGATGAGGATCGCCGTGGAGAGGTCCCAGAAACCGCGTTCAGACATTTGGGCCATATTTATGGCCTGCCTATATTGCGGCCCCCGGCAAAAGCCAGGGTGGAGCTTCAAATAAAAAATTTCATCCTGAAAAGGACGATAGAGAATACATAATGTAAGTTGTTTGAGAGCCTGTGGTCTTATAAAGGGCAGAAGAAGTCTCAGGACTTGACCGCTGGTGTCAGTTGCAGCATCATCCTCCAAGTGGTGGTCATCACTGTAGTCTGACTTAGAGAGCACACTTGGTCTTTTAAAAACAAAAATCCTGCATACTGTTGCCATTAAGTTACACCCAACTGTATATCATTGAGTTTTATATGCTTATTAATTTGTGTATGTCACTGAAATGTCAAGTCAGTGTCTGTTATAGAGAGATAACAATAGCTTGATCAGTAAATTAAAGGACCCGTTTCCACGCCTTTTGTTGTATTTGGCATACAGAACTAGACACCTCTCAGGACTGTATCTGGTACCCACTCAAGGCTGGGTTCACCTGGGAGAAAAGGTTATTAAAAAAGCCAGGCTCTGTTCGAATTTGAACCCATGAACTTTGGATCCGTAGATGAGCACCTAGCCACTATATTGTAGCAGCTCCCAGCTTGATCTGTCACACAATATAAATGTAAATGTGGTTAAAAGTTAATTTGGGGGATTGTAAACAGATGAAAGATACCTACGAAGAACTAGTTTTTTTTTTTTTTTTTTATGGGGGGGACTTATGGGACCATTGTTAAAGCTTTAGATATAAATTTAAAGTATTTGTTGGAACTCATAGGAGAGGAAATAAGGGACACTCCTAAATAGGGGAGAAGTGGTGGTAGAATTTAATCAATAATATCTTGTTCAACCTTTCTGGGTTTTGATTAGGATATTTAGAGTTTTTATCTTTTCATTAGATTATAGAATATGAGTGTTGAGTAGAATATATGTTGTGTACTTTTGAAATAAATGTGATGATCTGATCGTGTTTTCTTTTCTAACTCTGAGAATATTTAAAGTGACCTGCGTTGTTATTATTTTATTTTGCAATATTATTGTCTTTTGTATAAACAAAATTCTTTTTGGGGTGATCCTTCATTGTAGTTTTAAAGAAGCAGTTATGTTTAGGATGTTTTCCATTATCATATGCTTATTGCAGCAGGTTGTATAGATATCTGTATGTATGATTATCATAAAACACAAATATAAGGGATGAAAGAATCAGGAGTTCATGTTAAAATGTCATCCTAGCTGGGAACTATAGAGAATCAAAAATAAAAAAGTGAAACTGTAATTGTTAAGGCAGCTCTGTGACAGATATGCTGTTGGAGCATGGATTTACATTAGGGGCCCCGCAAAAAAAAGAAATCATTTGAGGGTTGGGGGCCTTCAGACCCCATATAATTTTATGGGGAGTATGTGTCCTCAGGTGTGAATTAATAATAGTTATTATTATGTGCTGAAAAGCATATATATTTATATATGTGTGTGTATATCATCATCATCATTATGCGCCCTGATGACTGGCTTAGGCGCTTGTGCATCTCCACAGATCTCAGACCCTTGTCCTCTGGATCAGTTCCACCAATCATATCCCTCTGTACCATCGTCACAGTTCTTCTGTCATCATCTCCCTAAGTCTGCCCCTCTCTCTCTTCTACTGTTGATCTACCACCACATTATATTCCAAAGAACTTCCTGCAGTAAAACAGACCGAATCCCATGAATGTGTTTATATATATTTACGTATCTATGTATGAAATAATATTCACCATTGATCACTGGCATCATAAGGACTAATAAACTGAAATGGCTGGGGCGTATACAGGAAATGGCAGGTGACAGATAAGCAGAAACTGTACACATGAAAGATGAATGACCGAAGATTACAAGGCAGACCAGGAAGTAGACGAGATACCTGACGAAAACCGCTAATTTAACCATCTGTAAATATACTATCAGAGAGATTGGAGAAACAACACCAGGTTAACGGAAAAGCAGAAGATCAGATAGTTTGGTCATCTTCTCAGAATACAACCACAACTACGAACATATTTAGTTCTGATGTAAAAGGGTGACCTTGGTCACTGGGAAGCAGACTGTTCATCCTAACAGCTTTTACAGCAAAAGAGAAGTTAATGAAGAGTCAAAGTTTACAAGTTGGAAAATTATAATGTTACATCCTATTGAAACTATTGCTTTTAATTGGTTTTGTTTGTTTCAGTTTTACAAGTTTCAAGCTCTAGGTCCGTTGGAATCCTCAAGAAATAAACTTTCAAGATGAGCGACTACTCGTATGATTCTGACTCTGACGATGAGGAGGAGGAGGAAGTGGAAGATGTGAAACCACGAGTAACATATGATTCATTAATGCAGTGAGTACTGCAATGCAAAGCAAGATTATCAGTTGGTGTTCCACTTATTTTCTGTGTGTTGTTTATAGTTTATTGCCGTTAATGGCTAGGATTGTAACATTAGTGTTGTTTTACTGTGTTCAAGAGGAAATATTTAATTTTGTCTGTACTAGGCAACCCACTATTCTTTTTATTGAACATGCCATATATATATATTTCCTAACTCTTAAAATCTGGTAACTCTTCCATATAAAAATAGTCACACTTAAAAATAGCAATTTTGAAAGCTTTACAGCAGCTTAGGGTAGGGCTGTTCGGCTAAATGTACTGAGGAGCCAAAATGGTGGGAAAGGGGGATCGTCACGGGCCAGAGGCTGGAGCCCCAGCATAGAGAGATTGTTGATACAATGGGCAGGTGATCCGAGGACCAATTGCTAGGCCTCCGCGGGCCAGATTTAGCTTGCCAACTGCCAGTTGAATAGACCTGGCCTTGAGCATAAAGAGTTTGTATGTATACCACATCTGCAGTGTCATATCATAATATGTGTTTGCCAAACCATATTTGTCACTGTAATTAACTAAACATGTGTAGGACATATGAATAACAATTTTACAAGTAAGCAGTAAAAGTTAAAACTTGCATTTTTTTTTTTTTCAAAATGATCATCTCAATTTATTTAATTCATTTTTACGGCTGGCTGTTGATTTTGTATAGGTATGTTGGTTTCTTTTCTCAATACCATTGTCTGGAAAAACAGAAAGGTGCCAATCATCATCTTTTGGTTTCTGTATGCTGATATTAAGTAATGGAGATCTTTCATTTACAACATTGAAATCAGCTGCGTTTTAAAAATTTGTTACTTTAAAATATAATTTTTTTGTGTTGGGTTAGAGAGGAGTAGGGGGTCGAGAGGTGGAGTCCTATAGCACATAATGCTGTATGGATGTAAAGTGATCGATTTTCATACATTCATACTTACTTCTTCCGCCCTTAACCCTATTTGAGCTATGAACCATGCCCTCCTATATTTCCTGCTGCTCCATTAATGATTTCTCTTTATTATTCATCATTGTTTCTGATTATCTACTCTCAATGTTTTAAGGTTTCTTTTCTTTAATTCTCAATTCTATCATTTTATTTCAGTCCTGTTCTTCTAATATATACTGTTATGTCATTTAGGGGAACAATACTAATTTTATAATAAGCCATTTTGTCCCCCCCCCCCCCCCCCCTTTTTTTTTTTTTCCCCCCCACAGACGTTCAGGAAAACAGCCTTCCAAAGAACATCGACCTGATGCATTGAGAACATCATCACAGAGTGCAAGAAATCACAGCAGAAGTTTAGGGCCACGACAGTATCAGAATGAGCCAAATAATTTAAGTCATTCAAACTTTCCTTCAGATTTTGATGAAACTTATAAGGCTAGAAACTTTGATGTAAAGACTGACATTCGATTCAAAAAGCAACGTGCTGAGGTGAACATGCAGCATGCACAGCCAGAATTGGAACATGGTAACTACAGCACGCAGGGTGGCAGAGGGCGCCATCCGTCTCATTTTCCGGGCAGAGATTATCAGCAGAATGTTCCATCTGTTTCCAGTGTGAGACCGATGCAGCCACAGAGTTCCATGCATCCTTCACAAATGCAAAGACAACCTCCAAGAAATGAAAATATGAATGTCCACTCCCCATCAGCTTATCATGGTTCTGGACATCAAGAGTATCCTAGCCATAGGAGTAGTGGACCTAACTATGCAACAGGTGGAGATGCTAGAAGCAAACATTATCAGAATGATTACTCAACCAAGATGAATGCCTACCAGCTAAGACCAGGTACCACCTCAGATGATACATACAGTTACGATAGTAATGGGCCTAATTATGCAACAAGTGGAGGCATTGGAAGAAGACCTCATCAGAATGAATATGCAGCCAAGATGAATTCCTATCAACTAAGGCCAGGTGTTTCTTCACAGGATACACACATTATTGACAGAGTAGATTACAATAAACTTATAGAGTGGTCAGCCTTTTCAAATAACACACTGCTGATCTTTGACATCAGTGTCCATTTGCCGGGCTTGTCAAAATTATTGAACCAAGACAGAATGCAGTTTGAATGGGTCCATCATGTGATTATTGTTCTGAAGAAAATCATTAGCGTAGAGTCCCAGAGGAACACTTTGAATTATATTTTGAAGTCAGTGTGTGAATCCAAGTTTCTGAAAGTGCACTTGCACAGTTTTCTTTCAGAGCTTCAGCGGCAGAGAACCTACCCGGATACTTATGGATGCTTTTTTAAGCTTGTAGATATCCTGGAGTATGTGATGAAGAATTTGAAAGACTTTGCAGCACACTGCAACCAATCCTTACAAAATCTGCTTGATGTAGGGAGAAATCTCAGCATTCTTTCTCAAGAAAATGAACTCACCAGACATATTCAGAAGCTTCTAGAACAAACAACCAGGAGAAACATTAGGGACTTCCAGGTACCAGTGAATACAGAACCCCACCAGAACAGACGAGAAAAGTCTGTACCAGTGCCTGATGATGAAGAGCCACCAGATAGATATCAAGAAATGGCACTTTTCCCAGACACTGAAGAGCTAGTTGCATCGATTGAACCATTCTTGAGGGCAAATAAAACAAAAGGTGCTTACAGAGACCTGGCACACTATCTGGACATTCAGTCTCGACTGATGAAGGAAGATTACTTATCTCCAATACGAACTGGCTTGAAGAATTTTAAATTGGCATTGCAGAATAACACAAATGTGAAAGAAGATGACCTGAGATTTTATTACAATGTTAAGATAGCGAAGATTTCCTTTGAGTCTGATCAAGGTATCACACATTTTGTTCACTTTGACAACTCTCCATTCAAAGAGTTAGACTGGGAGTACTCAAAGCGCCTGATGTTTGGGTCTCTACTTGTGTTCTCCAATGACAACTTTGAATCAACTATTTTTGCTACAGTTGCTTACAGAGATGTAGAAAAACTTCAAAGGGGAATATTACAAGTCATGTTTCAGAACAACTTAGAAAAAGTCTTCACATCTTCTGAAAATGACACTTTCATTATGGCAGAGACAACGGCCTACTTTGAGTCATACAGGTATGTTCTTGAAGGACTGCAAGAAATGGAGGCAATACCACTGGAAAGATACATTATTTCTTGCATGCGTGAGATTTACCCTCCACGTTACTTGCAAGAAAACATGCGCTACAATATAGCCTCAATCATGAAGAATGTTTATGATAGTTACCCTGTACCTGTTTTGAAAGACACTGAATGGCCTTCTGCTGATTCAACTTCACTGAATGATTCTCAGCTTGAAGCACTGAAACTGGCTCTGTCCAATGAGATTGCTATTATACAGGGACCTCCGGGAACTGGAAAGACTTATGTGGGACTAAAAATCATGAGGATTATCTTGGAAAATAAAGTTATGAAAAAAGCTTTTGGAAGTAGAGGCCCCATTCTTGTTGTTTGCTACACAAACCATGCCCTGGATCAGTTTCTAGAAGGAATTCTTGACTTCTGCCAAACAGGCATTGTCCGTGTTGGTGGCGGAAGTTCTAGTCCACAGCTGGAAAATTTTAACTTGAAACAACTTCGTCAGAATCGATCTTTGTCTCGAAAAATTCCAGCTCGCATCAATGAAGCCATAAAATCATTTAGGAGGCAACTTAAAGCCGTTAGCACAGCAATTAACCGCCATTGGCAAGAAACACTGCGACTGGAAACAACTATTTTAAATGTAAAAGATCTTGAAGAAGAAATGAGTGAGAAACACAAAGAATCTTTGATGGATCCAAGAAGAGAGACAGACATTGGTGGGCATATCATGAGTAAATGGCTCAAGGCATCAAATGCCAACATGGATAACTTCCTTAACAAAGCTGCTATTAAACACTTGGGGAAAGTCATTGCAAAAGGGGATAATATTCAGAATGATTCTAGTTTGAATAACAAAAAGTCAGCAGCCAGGACTGACTTTCAGACCAGAGTGAAAATTTACAATTATTGGATCAAAAAATATGAAACTGACATTGAAGAAAAAGTTGACAAACTGCTTTCTGATGTTACTCCTATGAATGAAAGGAAGCTGCAGGAACTCATGGCACTCAAGGATGAAATCAGCAATGATATACTCAGGGATGATATTCTTCAGCCGTACATGAGTGACAAAGTCTATGAGTCCATCAGAGGGTGTGTTAAACTTGAAAGTAAAGAAGAGACTAAGGAATCTTCATATGTGCGGAATTGGCTTCTGAACCGTGTTACAAGGACTGACCAACTGCTGGACGCCATTGAGCAGTTGACAGTGAAAATGTCAGGAGGCAAACAGCAACGTGGACGAGGCCGAATTTTCGCAGACACTGAGACTGCAATTCATGAAAATCGGTGGGTTATTGACGACAGTGATGATGCTGATGCAAACACTGATGAAAGTAGTGATGAAAATGAAGAAGACGAAGGAAGAGCTATGGATGATCTAGATGACGGAGGAACACTTAAAATGTCGGATATCAAAGAACTAGAGAACAGTTACAAACAGTTTCAGGACAGGGAAATTGTAATGCTTCAGAGGGCAAAAATGTTAGGAATCGATTTAACAGTGGAAGATGATGAACAGTGGCAAACAGCAAATACCATGTCTTACAGTAAAGTGTTTGGTCTGTATCACAATGCTGAAGCTTTTACTGAGCAAGAAGCATCATCAGTTACTGACCTGTGGAATCTTCAGTTACGAGATCGGTACAGGCTGTACAAGTACTGGGTTCTGGAGAGAAAACAAAAACTGACAAGGCGGCTTACTGACCTCACTGAAGAGTACAAGATTATTTCAAAACTGAAAAAGAAGGCCTTATCATTTAAAGATATTGAGATCTTGAAGAGAGCAAGGGTCATTGGTATGACAACAACTGGGGCTGCTAAACAAAGAGAAGTCCTTCGAGATGTTGGCTGTCACATAATTGTTGTGGAAGAAGCTGCAGAAGTCCTGGAGGCTCATATTGTGACAACTTTAAACCGTAACTGCCAGCATCTTATCCTGATAGGAGACCATCAGCAGCTGCGACCAAGTCCTACAGTTCACAAACTGGCAGTTGACTATGATTTGGAGATCTCCCTCTTTGAACGTCTGATAAAGAACAACATACCCCATGTCACTCTTACAGAGCAGCACAGAATGAGGCCAGAAATCTCCACCTACTTGCAACACATCTATCCTAACCTGCAGGATCACTTCTCTGTTTTTAAGTATGACAATGTCAGGGGTGTTAACTCTAATGTGTTTTTCCTACAGCATGAATATAAGGAAAGTGAAGTTGATGATACCACAAGCAAGGCTAACATACATGAAGCCAGATTTCTTACAGGCCTATGTAAATACTTTATTCAGCATGAGTATCTTGGCAGCCAAATAACTGTTCTAGCAGCATACAGTGGCCAGGTGACAAGTATAAGAAATGAGATGGAAAAAGAAGAAGGCATCTATGATAATGTCAGAGTAACATCCATTGACAATTATCAAGGAGAAGAAAATGACATCATTCTGATATCTCTGGTCAGAAGTAATGAATTGAATGAAGTTGGATTCTTGAAAACTGACAACAGAGTGTGTGTCGCACTATCCAGGGCTAAAATGGGCCTATTTGTAATTGGAAATTTCCAGCAGCTAGCACTGAAAAGTACACTGTGGAGAAACATTGTGCACACAGCCAAAGAAGACCATGTCTTTGGTGTTGGGATGAAGATGGTTTGCAGAAATCATAATCATATAACATACATAGTCAATCCAGAAGATTTTGCAAAAGAAGTCCCAGAAGGTGGCTGCCTAAGACCTTGTGAAGCTACTCTGCCTTGTGGTCACACATGCACTAGACTATGCCATTCTTCTGATCCTAACCATGAAACTTCCAAATGCACACAGCCATGTCTGAAAGTGTGCCCACAAGGGCACCCATGTCAGAAAGATTGCTATAGAGAGTGTGGTTACTGTGAGGTTCGAGTTGTTAAAGAAATCCCTCTCTGTGGCCATAAAGACCAAGTTCCATGTTATCTTGATGTAGATGATGTGCTTTGTTCACGTAGCTGTGGAACAACCATGGCTTGTGGTCATATTTGCAGAGGACAGTGTGGAGTTTGTATGAGCAAAGGCCACCAGCCATGCTTAGAAAAAGTTGACAAAGTCTGGCATTGTACTCACAGAAATAATGTTGAATGTTGCACAGATACTTCAACAGATCCCTGTCCAACTAAATGCAGCATGCGTCTTGATTGTGGACACAAATGCAAAGGAACATGTGGTGGATGTTTATCAGGCCGTGTACATAGAGCATGTGCGGAAAAATGCAAACAGCCATTACCATGCGGACACCCGTGTGAAGGTTTGTGTGGAGTTATTTGTGCTCCATGCAGATCGCGATGTCTCACATCTTGCAGACATGCATCTTGTGCTAAAACAAATTGTGGGGATCCTTGTGATCCATGCATGGAAAACTGTGCCATGGTCTGTCAACACAGAAAATGTGCAGCTCTCTGCATGGATGAATGTGCTGAACCTCCTTGCAGCAAGATGTGTGGCAAGCCGGCTCCGTGCAAACACAAATGCATGTCTCTGTGTGGGGAGATTTGTGTATGCTACCAGTGCGAAAAAGAAAACTTTCACCTCATTGACACCAGCAGTAAGAACAAACCAAAGTGGATGGTTGCTCACGAGAAGCAGGAAAGAGCTAAAAAGTTTGAAGTTGACAAAGAGACAGTTTTAATGAAGATACCAAAATGTAAGCACATCTTTACTCTTGCTCAGTTGGACAGATACATTGAATCTTTTGAGCCCACGGATACAAGTTTTCTTCGGTGCCCGGTGTGTCCCACGCCAGTGCAAGGAATAAGTAGGTACGAAAATATTAACCGTCAAAGGGCAGAAAGAAGAGAGAACATGAAGGAAGAAATAATTCAGAATAGCAGAGTTTCAGACAAAAAAATCAGTAGGCTTATAAAATCAAAGCTAGTTGTGGAACGTTTCTGCACAGTTGATGAAGGAGAGTTCTTGTCTAGAAATTCAGAGATTGATTCAAACCATGCACTAGCTCTCTCCATGCAGATGCGCTTTGCTTTTGCTTTATCAAAAGTGTATAGCATTCACAGATCCTTCAATCAAGACATAGACTTTAAAATTAGGAAGTGGAAATTAATTGTTTCCTCAATCCAGCTGAGCATGCCGCCCCAGCTTTGTACAGAGATGACTATGGAACTACATCGGCTGTTGCTGTGTGAACAGTTTACATTTCTCGCCAAGATGTTTAAGAATATGGAGATCCCCCTAAAGGATGAGGTGAAAACTAACCTTCGAGCTGCTCTTAAAGACCTCGGCAAACAACAGAAGCTAATTCCTGAAGATAAAAGCAACTTGCAAGGTATCCTGGACAGTTTGTATGAAGAATTTTATCGTATGGCCCCAAGTGATGAATGGTCAGTGGATGCCAAGAGCTTGCAGAGTCAAGTAGCTTCTGTGACTGATGTACTTGATCAACCTCAGACAGAGGTGAGTGACCGTTTAAATTCAAATAACAATCACTCATCTTTATTGTAGTTAAAAGGGGTGCAGAAATAGTCATTGCACATTTGTTACAGTCATAGGAAAGCATTATTACTAATTGCAGCGCTAATTTAACATATATTTTGTTTATTTATTTATTATTTTGTTATAGCGGCTTCCGTGGCTTAGGCGTTGCGAGACCAACTCGTAATCCAACGTACAGCGGTTGAAACCCACTGCTGGCTGCGTGGATTTTATCATGGTATGGGGCGTCGCAAGTCGGCCCAGCCTAAAATGGGTACTAGGATGGCTGTCCTGGGAAAGTAAAGATGCCCGGCGTAATATGGCTGACCATATTACCCATCCAGTGCCGATTGGTCTGTAAAAATATGGGACGCTCTTCCCATATACCCGATGTGCCTAAGGTGTGAAAATGTATCCCTACTTTACTTACTATTTATTTTAACATAGTAATTTTTCCAATAGCATAACAGGTAGCAACACTACAAAGCCCTATTAGCTAGTTGACAAATTATCCTCTCTGCACATCGAAGCATTGAGCCCTAAAGTGTTTTTATCCCCTCATTAATATATCCCTCAATATGTAGCAGCGGACATCAGTTCTGTGTAAGTATATTAATCTTCTCTCCCCCCTCCACCACCATATCAGTCTGGGCTGGTCAAGATTACCAATTCAGCCATCACGTAATTTTTGTAATCACTTTGACTGTCTTAGGGCATTCAGTACATCAGCCTGCACACAAAAATGAAATAGAATTTTGTAAGCCTTAGCCTCTTCAGAGATTCCAACCACGGCCTTTAAGCTCAGCCCATCTTGACAATCCCAGGCACACTAATTGAGTCACTGGGTATGCATGCTTTGTGGGTGACCGGGAGGTTAGATTATCCGCCTCTCACACTGTAGGACATGTTTGCAGTCTTTGTTGAGGCTTAAGGTATTTAAAAACCTTCCTAGCCTGTAGATTATGCAGCAGCTGTATACACTTTTGTCCTCCTCCTTCTTCTTTTCTTCTTCTTTTTCTGCCTTTGTCATCACATTATTCCCGGGTTGCAGCCCAGTTTCATGGTTTAATGTTCTTGTCTTGCACTTCTCACGTGGCTTTATTGATGGTTATTCCTCCCCATGTAAATAAACTCTCAAATCACACATAAGTAATGGGTTTTTTTAAAAACTAGTCCCAAAGCAGATACAGATGTTGGGGGTCAAATGCTAGGTCTTAACATATTCTGGGTCATGTCATACAATAATCCCAGTTTCTTTCTTCATCTTCAGTGAAAGTGCAATGATCATAATGAAAAAATCTCATCAAAGTAACTAGAAGTTGAGGTCTGAGAACACAAAATACAATTAAAAACGTTTAATGTTTTAGACACCCTGGATTTAGACCAGCTATTACCATACTAAACAGGACATCTAATTTGCCAGGTATACTCGCGCCTGGCTATTTAGCAATTAAAGTTGAATTTACTGATTTTTTTTTTTTTATCGATCACCGGCTGTGAATTCCAGTGGAAGGTCCCGGTTAATCGTCCGCTTGGACTTTTGGCTTTCACCTGGCCCTGATTTTTGCGTGTACAACCGTTTTTCATTTCCCTGCCTCATGGGCAGCTGTACTCCGACTTCGAAGGAAGACGTCAGGCCTATTTCTAGGGTGACTGTGGCCATTGTTTTGTGTGGGTCGAGAGGTTGCCTGATTTGTGTGGTGTCCACTTTTGTCTCCTTCGCCGCAGGTATTGCCCCCGGAGTACCCCTTTGGGGCAGCCCCCTGTGGAACAGTTAGCCCTCAAGGGAAGGCAGGGGCAGATCATGGGCATTCCCCGCCATCCAAGGAGGCTTCCATGCATGCAGAGCCGGCACATAGCGCTCTGGTTCTGGGCTCACCCAAGGAATCGTCACGTCCTGCACATACCTGCTTAACCTCACAACCGTATTAGGCCTCCCGCTCGACAGGGGCTACGCCCTCTGGATGTCAGCGGGGAGCAGCCCGTAGCTTTTGGACTTTTGTGACCACACAGATAGTTTTTTTTTTTTTAATGCCCGGGCTAGAGCAGATATTGACAGTCATGACCTTCTCTGTCATCTGATATTTTACTGAACTTGTTGCTAATATTATTACTGACTTTACTGATCTCAGAATCAACATCATAGCATCCATGCACTCCTATAGATGCTTTATCTCCCACAGCAAATGTTTTTTAAGGTGTAGATTAATATTTTTATTAATTTCCTGCCAGGCTGTTTAACCCTTTCACCCCATGAGTGCTAAAATATGGGGCCATGAACCCATAGAAATTTCCCAAACAATATCCTTTACAATTTAAAACAAAAAACAAAAAACCTATTGCACAGGTCACTAATGATATAAAAAAAATATGTATCTGCATTTTAAACTTAAAAAATATATATATATAGATATATAAAAGGGTACTCAGTAAACACAGAGTAAAGTATTATATGGAATACATTCCCCGGTCATGAAAAACTAAATATATCAGGTGACTCATGCCGTCACCCCCGACCTATATCACTAAGGCTTACGCAGAAAAGTTGACATTAACTTGGCTTTTAAAAGGCGATTGGGGTCATAAGGAAGCTCCTCTAAATGCTTTTTTTTTCTTGTTACCCTATTAATATCCTGGCCTACCAAACATCATGCAGGTGCACACATGACCAATGCAATTTAGCTATGCTTTTCAAATTTCAAATTTGAAATAAATAGGGAAAACAGACACCCCAGAAGGAGGAAGAGTGGGAGGGAGAGCAAAAAGAACTCAGACAGCACAGCAAAAAATACACAGATGCTCAATATTCTGCAGCTGAACATCTGTGGAATAAGAAATAAGAAACTTGAACTTGCCAAACTGCTAAACAACCACAGGGTACACGTGGCTGCCCTACAAGAAACCCTGCATAAAGACTCTGATCTGCATCTCACTGGATATACTAGTTATGCCTGTAAGTGCAATGACTGCCGGGGCATAGTGACCTATATCAGAAATGACATACAAGGAGATGTAACAATGCTGTCGACATCTCACCCTACAGATGTGCAAAAAATAACTATCTGGCACAATGGAAGCAAATACACGATATACAACGTGTACAGCCCACCTCAGACAACATGCAACATACCAGAACTATACAAGACACAGTACCATAAAACCCTTCTTGTTGGTGACTTCAACGGACACTCGCCACGTTGGGGTTACCCTGACTACAATAGCACAGGGAAGTACATCGAAGATACTTGTGAAACAACTAACCTATTAGTGCTGCAGGACACAGAGTCTACACCTACACTGTTACACAGGGCCCACCTATCTCTCAGCAGACCAGACCTGACCATCTGCTCATCCGACTTAGCAGACGCAAGCTATCCCCAAGTCCTGGACGACATAGGAAGTGACCACAAACCTATACTCACAACTGTAAGCACCACCCCTAAATTACGCTTCAAGCAGAGAACCCGTTGGAATTTCCGAAAAGCAAACTGGAAACTATTTCAGGAAACATCTGACTGCCTCCTGGGAAGAATTGACAACAGCTGTGTGGAAACTTTTTGTGAAGACATAACACAAGCAATCCTGAATGCAGCGTCGAAAGCCATCCCAAGGGGCAGCCGGAAGGCATATAAACCTTTTTGGAATCAAGAAATTCAAAATACTATATCTGAAAGGAATAAAGCAAGAATATTTCTCGAAACTGCACGTTCAACAGAAGCAAAGATCCAATACAATAAAGCATGTGCCAGAGTAAAGCTTGTAGTTAATAAGGCTAAAAGAGATAAATGGACAGAAACTTGCTCCAACTTAGACCTTAGACAGAATGGAAATAAAGCATGGACTTTAGTTAAAAACCTCTCCGGAGAAAGTAGAAGGGTGAACCCAAAACCAGTGTCAGATGGGAGTAAGACAATCACTGAAGACAAGAAGAAAGCAGAACATTTCAATCATTATTTTGCCTCGGTTAACAGAGCAGGTAAGCTGTCAGAACTCGATAGAACACAGCTCTCTCAGTTGAAGAAACAAGAGAGAGCTCCAACAGCCAGCGACTCCCTTTTTGAAAATGAATTTAGCATGGATGAATTAGAGCAAGCCCTGAAGAAATTAAAACCTAGAAAATCTCCAGGCCCAGATAAGATCCACAACGAAAATGCTGCTACATCTTGGCCGGTCTGGGAGAGAAGTAGTTCTCAGGCTTATTAATAAAACTTGGAGGTCAAGCAAACTTCCAAGGGCATGGAGGAATGCATATATCGTCCCCATCCTTAAAACCAAAAAGCCTCCAGATGACCCCAAAAGCTACCGCCCGATATCCTTAACATCATGCTTGGGCAAAGTTGCAGAAAGAATGATAAACAGGCGCTTATATTGGTTCCTTGAGAGTTCTGGTGTTCTATGCCATGAACAGGCAGGCTTCAGAACCAACAGCTGCACAGAAGACCAGCTGTTCAGACTGACACAAAGAATACATGATGGCTTCCAGAATAAGAAACACACAGTGGCAGTCTTTGTCGACCTCCAGCAGGCCTATGACAGAGTATGGAGAAAAGGTCTCCTGATGAAGATGATGAGCATAGGAATACATGGCAGATTGTATAACTGGGTGAAATACTTCCTGATAGATAGAACAATCCAGACTAAGATGCACAACGCAATCTCTTCTAAAGAAGTCTTGGAGGAGGGCTTGCCACAAGGCTCATCATTGAGCTGTACACTATTCCTAATCTTTATCAATGACCTGCCAGAACAAATCAAGGCCGAAAAAGCCTTGTACGCTGATGACCTAGCAATATGGCAGAGTCATGAAAATGTGGAAAGTGGAGCCCAAAGACTGAATGGAGACCTTAGAAGACTGCATGATTACTGCCAAAGATGGAAACTCAAGATTAACTGTGCAAAGACGGTCTACACAATCTTTACCAAAAGCCACCAAGTAGCAAGGAAGAATATTAACCTGAGGTTAGACAAACACCAAGTGATGAAAGAAGAGCATCCCACATACCTTGGAGTCACACTTGACCCGCAGCTCAGCCTCAAGAACCATATTGAAAACATCAGGAATAAGGCATTGAGGCGGTTACAGTTATTAAAGAGACTTGCAGGTACATCATGGGGATCAGACAAGGAAACTCTGAGGGGCTTATACCTAGGATATGTTCGCTCTGTGATAGAGTACAACAACTCACTGCTTACAACTTGTTCCAAAACTAACCTAGAGACTCTTGACAGAGTACAAAATAATGCCCTCCGATTAATCTGCGGAGCTATGCAGTCTACACCAACTGCTGCATGTGAAATCCATACAAATGTGGAACCCCTCGGGTTGCGGAGAGAAAAAGCCACTTTAGAAATTTATGAAAGATGCGTTAGGAAAAATCGTAACCATCCTAATAGACATCTTGTAGAAAACTGGGAATCCAAACAAAGAATAAAGCACAAATCGGTTTTACACTGTGTAAATGAAATTCAGGACAGATACCACCTCCCAGAAAGACGTCAAGGAATTCAGAATGTTGCAAAAAACCTACCACCACATGCTCGCTTTAAAGCTCCAGAAGTCCAAACTAAATTGGTAGGCGAGGAAAACCAAACAGTCCGACCCAATCGCTCTTATGAACTCATCACTAAAGACCGTTGATTCTTACCCCCAAGAATGGATACATGTCTATACTGATGGATCAGCATTTAAAGCTACCATTAAAGCAGGTTACGGAATCTACATAGGTTATCCCGATGGATCTGTTGAAGAGATTTTTGATGCATGCGGGGAATTCTGTTCAAACTATGAAGCTGAAATAATTGCACTGGAAACAGCAGTATACCACCTAAAGACTGTAATGGATGTTTACCCCTCAAAGGTCCAAAATATTGTCATCTTCACAGATTCAATGTCTGCCCTTCAAGCTCTGGAGGGCAATGAACGCTGCAGAACTGACATAGCCAAGATAATCCTGGATGCCGATCATCTTATTACCTCATACAACATCAGAATAGTGATGCAGTGGATTCCAGGTCACTCCGGCACACCAGGTAATGACAGAGCTGACAGATTGGCAAAGAAAGGAGCAACACAAGAACAACCACCTACAGCGACAACCCTCCAGACAGCAAAAACACTGATAAGAGCTATAAACAAAGAGACTTGTTGAACAGATGGGCCATGGGAGACACTGGAAGAGAGGTTTATAGACATATGTCTGGCCCTGATCCTAATGACAGCATTAACCATCTAACAAGAAGGGACCAGGCCACCATCTTCAGACTTAGAACGCAACATACTCCACTCAATGGACACCTAAACAGAATACAGCCACAACACTCCCCAGAGTGCCAGCTATGTAACTACCCCTACGAAACTGTTGAACACCATCTCTTTGAGTGCCCAAAACTCAGTGAGACAAGAAGAACGCTACTCCCTCCGAGACCAGACAAGTGGAACACCTTGTACGGAGGAAAAGAACAGCTTGTGAAAACATGCAAATTCCACTACATGGCATTGGGCCAAAGGGCGAAAGCTCATGCGCCGCTGGATCGATAACAACAACAAGCTATGCTTTTCAAGAACTGTGGGCATATATGCCATATATCGGCATTTACAGGATATGACACAACCGAAAGTGAAAAGATTTAGGCTTCTTAGGGTGAAATGATTAATGTTTCCATCTCCACTTTTTTCCCCCTGTATTTTACCGTACAAGGCAAAGTATTTATTCAGTAGCTACTGTTGATATGCCACAAATGTTTCATTTATCTTTTTTCTTGTAATTTTTTATGAGTGCTACAATTATACCTGCAGCTGCCTAACCTTATGGAGAATATGTTAGAGCATATGGTAGATCCCCAGGGAATCAGCAGAACAAATGTAAGGGGTCTATGATATCATTTGAAAAAACAGCTCAGTCAGCTGTAGAATACAGCACTTTTTGTGATTGTAATATTTATATAGTCCGCTCTGTGGCTAAGTCGATGTGAACGTTTCGTAATGCCAGGGTGCCATGTTCAATCCTAGCTTCGGGCCATGCGCCTTGCGTTGGTTTCTACAGTGGTATCAGGGGGCCGACCGGCCAGAAAGCAGTGGCAAACTACTGGCTGTAAATTTGCCTAGAGAAACCACACAACAGCCAGGGAGCTGCTGGGGTTGGTTCTGCAACGTCCTGTAAAGGATACGCAACTAACCTATTCACCTAGTATTTATATATTAAAAGTTATTCAGTGGACTATTAAAATGTATAGGGTCTGGGGCCGACCTTCAAAGAGGAGTCCACGGTTCCTTGCTTATTGGGAGCCACTCTAGTGCAGGACTGTTAAACTAAGTTTACTCAGGGGCAAATTTTTTAGAAATGAGGATCATCACGGGCCAGAGGCCCCAGATCATTATTACAGTACAACCTGACAGTGATTAGTGATCCACTAGCTAGGCTGCTAGTCGAATAGCACTACCCTAAAGTATAAAATTGTTCAGATTTCGCTTGTCGAATACAGAAAAAAAAAAAAAAAAATTAGTGTACTGTCTTCCACGCATTTAGGCGTATTGGGTATATAAGACTAGACTTGTATATTATAGACCAATTGGCACTTGGTAGGTGATGTGGTCAGCATCACTATGGTTGCCTTTACTTCCCAGGACTTAACCAGGTAGTTGGGTCATCTCTGAAAAGTCAGGCTCTGCCAGGAACCAAAGCTGCGATCTTCGGATCCACGTGGAAGTGTCTAGCCACTACGCCACGGTGGCTTCCCTAACACAGCATGGCATGTTGAAAATAGCCAAGCTAAGAAGCATCTAATGAGAGCAGAAAATAGTGTTTGTGAGGAAAATACAAAGAATAACATGGACTTTCCATGCACGTTCCAGGGCCTCATTTTGAAGGATAAAGAATAGACCTACTGCCCCTTCTTAACCAGCATGTCACAATGGGTGACTAATTAGGGACGTTCCTTCAAAGTTTTAGTGCATTGCCTGAGAGGCCAGGGACCAAGAATCTATACAAGTAAGTCAGATCTGTAACAGGGATGTGCATGTAAAACTCAAGTTCTGGAACAAGACCAAGGTCCATAAGTGGACAAACAACCAGAACTTTCCACCAGAGTTTACAGCAGGTGAACTCTAAGAAGAAGAATAATACAGAAAAGCAGAAGAATCCTTCAGTAAAGATTTTAAAAAAAACATAAACTTGAGAAATTAGTTGTAGACAATCAGGATTTATTCGACATATTATGGGGAGAAATAAACTTGAAAACTAATGACAGCTGGCAAACTTAAGGGGGTAAAGAGCAAGGTAAGGTAAAGTATAGGACCTTTTTCATGCTAATTGTATATCAGGCAAATGATGGTAAATTAGACCAATCAGCACACAATAGGTGAACATCAGGCCATAAACCTTAATTTTCCAGGACTTTACCTGGTATCGATTTTAAGATGGGTCAACCGGGGTGCCAAGATCAATTGGGGGGGGGGGGGGATCCGTCTTGATACGGATTTAAACTTAAGACCTTTGAGTCTAGCTGCTACACCAACATGACTGTCAGGAAGAAAAGGATAGGAGGATAAATATATAAATGAGGTCATAAATCATAATCAAAACAAGAACACAGACCTGACCCGAGACTGGTAATCATGTGAGATGGCGAACCTTGCCCACCCATGCTTATTATTTTGACCTATAATGATATTGAACATTCAGCAGACGTGTCTTGTAAATTCAAAATTAACCCTTGACCTAAAAATTTTCATATCAGTTTATCTAGGAGATAAAAACCGGCCTGTTTACATACAAGTACACACTCGCCAGTAGGTACTGTTGCAGGTATCTTTACTATTAGCCCATTGATTCCCAAACTGTGCGCCGTGGCTCCCCGGGAAGCTGCGACCTCTTTACAGGGGCGCCGTGAAATATTCAAAGGTACACAATTCTTTTCTTTTTTATCTCTTACATACGAATAGTCATACTTTTACTTAGGTTAGGGCTTCGTGTAAAATTGTTATTGAAAAAACTAAGAAAAGTTTGGGACACATTGTATTAGTTTATAATTTATATAGGAAGCAAATTTGCGTTGCATGAATCGTAATCATGTATCATTGTTTTTGCTTTTAGGACCTCATCACAATTTTGCAACAGATTGCACCACAAGAGCTGAAAGTTCATTCAACTAGAGTTCTTGAACGAGACTCAGACACAGATGAGGATGATGAGGATGATGATGATGATGAATCCAATTAGTGATGTTGAATTTCAGCATTACATCTTGATATCACTGAAAGATTTGTTTAAAAAAATAAGTTAGTCTCTTAACATGATTTGTACAGGAAGGGGCCAAAAATATGAGGCTTGTTTTCTCAATTAGAAATGTATTGTACTGTATATCTTACTATTTTGGCCCACCTTGTTGATTGGCACATCTGTGCCCCCTGAAAATTTAGATAAAACACGAGTTAAATAGTACACAACAATGGATAAGTCATCTTTGCTTATTCAGGAGCATATGATAATTATATAACTAGAATGTCCATACACTGGAACACAACAAGCTAGAGAAACAAAAGCCCCCTCCCCCAAAGAGGACAAAATAGAGACTGATATGAATAAGATAAAGAGGACATTGGGTGGGCTGCAAGTGATGACAAAGAAAAGGATGACACAGTGTGAGTTGTTTGAAGTTCTGTCTTCCATTGTGGGATAAAATGCAGAAAACAAAGATTGAGGAACATGGAACAAATACTGTGCATTGACCCTAATTTATGAAATTTGTGTAGAGTAATGTGCCTTTGCTGTATTGCAGACAAAATAGAGACATATGAATAAGATAAAGAGGACATTGGGTGGGCTGCAGGTGATGACAAAGAAAAGGATGACACAGTGTGAGTTGTTTGAAGTTCTGTACTCCATTGTGGGATAAAATGCAGAAAACAAAGATTCCAGAACATGGAACAAATACTGTGCATTGACCCTAATTTATGAAATTAGTGTAGAGTAATCTGCCTTTGTTGTATGGCAGCATTGATATTCTGTGGGGAAAATGGAAGCTGTAAACAAAACAAACAACATCCACAGTATCATCCCTGCCTTCCAGAGATGGGGTTTGGGTACATGAGAATAAATTATGTTAATTTGGAGTGGCTTGGAAGTTGTGAAGTCTCTGTCTAGTTCATGCAGGCCTGGTTTGTTTCATAGTATGTAGTAGGGAACAGTTTTTTAAACATATGCGTGAAAGTGATCCTTAAAACAAACCTTTACGGACTACTTGCTTTAGATTAGCTAGGTGTTTATTATTTACTTATTGATAAGTAATTCCCATGTGGGATGCAATTTTTTTGTTTTTTGAAGCCCCACCCTGGCTTCTGCTGGGGCCCCTGAATATAGGCGGGGCATAGATATGGCCTAAAGCTGAAAGGGGTTTCCGGGACCTCTCCACGGGTGATCCTCATCTGCATGGTGGCACTTTGTGTCACCGGGTGTTTATCGCTTGTGTGATGTTCTTTTGGGGTACCTACCTACATTTTATTTACTTATTTTAATTAATAAAATGCTCCTAATATTACAGATTTATTTTGCATGGCTGAACTACGAACCTTGTATTTTAAAAATGACAAATAAATTCAGTTTTTCAGTTACTTCAAGCATCTGTATATTATCTGATTTCAGATAAATACTTCATGTTAATTAAAATGTATATCATTCTTTCTTTTAACTATTAATTTTAATGACACCATCTTCACATTATCTAATTTCAAATATAAACATCACCATCATTACATTTTTGTCTTGTTTTTCTTAACTGTTCACTTTGTAATACATCCATGAGAATGATGAATAGCATTATGTTTTTTAATTTGGCGTAACCATTTGCATATTATCTAATTTTACCTCTTTGTATACCTAGGAATGCACAGTGAGTTGAATTATAACTAATGTACCTATCCTTTGGTACCACACACACAAAAACATGTATCATCATTGCCCTTCGTATGCTGTTAGATGTCATATAGATTCATCCACTCGGCTGTGTTGCATGCAACTCTCTTGATTTCTAACATGAAGTTCAGCCAAGCATTTTTATATATACATATATATACCACATCAGTTAAATTTGCTGTCCTTTTTATTTTTTTATTTTAATGTTAATTTTGTAATACATCCATGACATTTTTAGATTAGCTGTGATTTTGTTTGCCTAAAGGTCATTGCAGACTTTTGTGACCTGCTGGTAAACTTGTTCATTGTTATATGTACCAGAATGTTCAGTTATCATTCTTCTTGTATGTTTCAGTATTTTAAAATATGATTTTCCTTACATCTTCAGGTCCTCACCCACGTATATGGCTATGTAAAATCATGACTGTTCTTGTGCATCAATATGTAAACTAACCTACTTTTTATGATGTAACCTATTATGTAAAAATACTAAAATTTTTCCTATTTTTTCCCTACAGTTGGATACAACAATTGTCATTGTTATTGTGTGCACACACGTGTTGTTCACATATTTAATACAAACACTTAGGTACTGGAAAGAGCAGGTACTACAACAGTCTTTTCCGTGCTTAGTCTACGAAGGTTCAGGTGGCTGGGTGACACATGGAGGATGGCAGAGTCCCTAAGGACATCCTTTATGGTGAATTTATGACAGGAAGAAAATGTTGAGACCGACCTCTACTACGTTATAAAGATGTGTGCAAGCGGGACATGAATGGTACAGGTACTGTGGCGGACTCATGGGAACAAGATGCCATGGACCGTGTTGTGTGGAAAGGGCATTTCAGGAAGGGAATGAGACTGAAGGAAAAAATGATTGCAGAAAGGATGAGAGCTGAGCGTCTAAAAAAAAACAGATTAAACACAAATGTTGTTAACAGTCGTTCTGAAATCCCATGCTATCATTGTTGTAGACTTTTCTTGACATGGGCAGGTCTTGCTAGTCAGACTCGCCATCGCCATGGGCTGTGAGTCTCATGCCTCCTCATAGCGCAATATAACACTATCGTATGGAAAGACGGAAAGGTGCCAGTGGTGAATATATTTGGAGACATTCTTTTTAATTTATGAAATGCTAAATTTTTCCTATTGACTTGTAACAATAAAAGTCTCCTTGGTGATGTGGTTAAGCTGTTTGCAGCATGATGTGATGGTTGTAAGGTTGATTTGGGACTGAGACATTTATTTCACAAGTACAGGTGTTTGGGCAGTGCTTGGGGTCGTCAACCAGAGCTACAGAATTGTGTACTTTGTGCAGTGCTTTCAGTCAGCAAAGAGACTGAGCAATGTTCGGATAAGACCTGTAGCAGTGAATATGATCCTCTTGCATTCAGACATGTTTTTTTTCACTCATAATCAATAATAATTAGAACCTTAATCTAAGCAAATTCCATTTCACTGTATAATGATGCAGCACCCAGCTAGTAATGGAGTGTGTCATTTGACACGAATTTGTTTAAACACTTGATGTGATGTATGTGTGTGTTTTAAACTATTTACCACTATTGTCCTTCCATTATTTCACTGTATAATGATGCAGCACCCAGCTAGTAATGGAATGTGTCATTTGACACAAATTTGTATAAACACTTGATGTGATGTATGTGTGTGTTCAAACTATTTACCACGATTGTCCTTCCATTATTTCACTGTATAATGATGCAACACCCAGCTAGTAATGGAATGTGTCATTTGACACAAATTTGTATAAACACTTGATGTGATGTATGTGTGTGTTCAAACTATTTACCACTATTGTCCTTCCATTATTTCACTGTATAATGATGCAACACCCAGCTAGTAATGGAATGTGTCATTTGACACGAATTTGTATAAACACTTGATGTGGTTGGTGTATGTGTGTGTTTAAACTATTTACCACTATTGTCCTTCCATTATTTCACTGTATAATGATGCAGCACCCAGCTAGTAATGGAGTGTGTCATTTGACACGAATTTGTAAAAAACACTTGATGTGGTTGGTGTATGTGTGTGTTTAAACTATTTACCACTATTGTCCTGTCATTGCTTATAGGGGGTTGTTGCATTATTGTTTTATCCTTTATAAATTATTGCATGCCAATTTTTGATGGGTGCTCTTTCCATATGCCCGATGCGCCTAAAGGCGTGAAAAGGAATCTTTATGTTTGATGATAAGTGCACTACTTTGTCCAAGGATTAGTACACTGTCTTACTATTGTGATACATTTTGCAATAATTTTTGTTTAATATAATTGAATTATATGTGGAATTGGTTTTATTGTTAAGATAAAACCTATGTTAACATTGATATAGAACACATTTTGTTTTACTGATATGAAAACCATATTGTTTTGGTAGAAAACACACTGTATTACTGATATGAAACCTGTATTAACAATGAAAGAGAACACACTGTATTATTGATATGAAACCTGTATTAACAATGATAGAGAACACACTGTATTATTGAAATGAAAGCTGTGTTAACATTGGTAGAGAATGCATTGAATTACTTATATGAAACCTGTATTAACATTCATAAGGAACACATTGTATTACTTACATGCAACCTATGTTAACATTGATAGAGAACAGATTTTATTACTGAATGAAAATTACATTAACATTAGTAAAGAATTGCTGGAATTAAAACTCAGTTAATTTTGCTAAAGAACTCAGCCTGGAGAGAATGAGGCACCTGGGTGTAACCAGGTGTCTGACTGGCTCACTACATTCAGGGGAAAGGCAAGACGGACATATAACCAGATTACGACATTTACCATTAGTATTGGAACTCTGCGCTGGCTGCTGAAGATGAGGACGGAGCACACATGGTAATGCCCCAAGTGCTGCGATGTCAATTCTTGACAGCTCAGATCAACTGGTAAAGAACTAATTGTTCATCTTAAATACATAGAATTTTAATATTGGTATAGAAGCCAAATTTATCTGAAATGAAAATCATGATAACATTCATATAGAACTCGTGGTTTCTCAGGAATGAATATTGTTTTCTTCTTCTTCTTCTCGTTCACCAGCTGTAAACTCCGGCGGAAAGTTCTGCTTGTTCATCCACTTCTGGACTGCAGTCCTGTTCCAGAACCTGAGTGTTGCATGTGCATCCGTTTTACAGATCTGACTCATTGGTATGCAGACTGCAGGTTCCTTGCCTCTCAGGCAGATGCATTACTACTTCGAAGGAAGCTCCTAATAAGTCCACTCTTACGACATGCTTTTGGATAGGCAGTAGGCCTATTTTTGTTCTC